GGTACAGAGAAAGCCGGTCGTCTTAATTCCTCCCTTCAGTGCATCCCAGTGTGATAGAGTAAAGACCATGCAGGGACTGAAACTCCTCCACTTCTCAGGCCCAGGGAAAAAGGGAACTAGAATCCCAAAACCTGCTGGCTCATACCTGCTAGAAAACATAAAAAAGAAACGCTAGAAAACATAAAAAAGAAACCACTACAAAACTTGCTTGATTTGATTTGCTAAGGCCTGAGTCGTTGGAGAGTCTTGTGCCAGGCCCCTGTGTGGGAGGAACTGAGCTATAGGGCTACACCTCAGACCCCAGTCTCTTTATAATGGGAATTTTCAGGGAATTGAGTTTATTTGAAATCTTCTAATAGCATGGTGGCTCAATGCACGCTGCTGGGAAAATAACCGTGGGGTGTGTGTGAGCGGTGTGGGGAAGTGGCTGTATTGCTCCAGGGAGTCTGGGCTCTCTGGATGCTCTGCTCTGCCTCCGCTCTCAGGCACGGGCAAGCTGCACTGCACGGGGTGGCAGACCCTGCTTTTAAGGGCACATAACTCCTGTCCTGAGCACCATGACTGGCATGTAGAAGAGCTTAAGCCCTGGAAAAGGGAGGCAGCACGCACTTGGCACTGCATTTCATACAAGAATGGATGTCTTGTTTTTGCAGATCATAGGCTACCGACCTGGTGCTGGGGTCCCTGTCAGCGTGGACTGCAAAGTGCAGGTACTGCTTCCATTCGTGCTCGGCAGCGTGGTGCGTAGAAGACCAAATGTCTTCCTCTGATGGACCCCACCAGCATCTCATTTTAGCCCCAAACGCTCACAGGACCCAGCACTGCTGATGCCTCTGGGTGCAAGGGGGGGCCGCTCTGCTGAGAACGACAGAGGCCACCAGTCTCCTGCTTCCCACCCCGGCCCTTGCCCTCCGAGCGCTGCTGGCTCCTGCCAGCCTCACCGGCAGCGCTCTGCTCAGCCCCTGAGGGCAGACCCGCAGGGCTGGGTGCCGGGGTGCCAGCTAGAGCCCGGCAGGAGCTGCTCACATCCATCCCCACCCGCTCCGCGGGACCCTCGGTCCTGGGGAGCACCCTGCAAGCCAACAGCAATAGGGTGAGGGAAGGGCTCCCACTGCCCGGGCAGCAGCTGGATCACACCCTTAGAGAGCAATAAAGCAGTAGGTAAGCGCAGGGAGGGAGCGACAGGCAGCAAATTCTGTAACCCTCGCCTGTGCCTTCATAGCACCGTTACGCTCTGGCTCGCTGCAGCAGCAGCTGGCTCTCACAGCAAACGCTGCGTGCAGGCAGGCAGGCGCAGCTGAGCCCTGACGTGGATTTGCAAGAGATGTCAGCTCCTTCACCTTCCTCTGAAGGGAGCTGTATTTTGTGTCCCACGTGCTACACGTGTACCTTTATTTTTTTTTCCAATCACAGAAAGGCAATGAGAGCGATCTCAGATCGGTGGACTTCTACCCTGGAAACGGGACATTTGATCTCATGTATTATCCCTACTATGGCAAGATCACTCATGTAAGTAAGGACTCTGGCATCTTTGTTATGTCTCCTTGGGAAGGAGAGGGCAGGAGCTGCTGCGCAGAGTACAGATGTGCTTTCTGGCTATTTTGGGCAGATGCAGGCAGGAGGGAGGCCACAGGCACTGGGATTACAGCGCTCTATTTCTGTCTCTGACAAACTGCGGGAAATCCTTGGGGACTCCGGTTCCCCCTTGCCAGCAATGGGAATTTATCATCTGGAGACTAAGACTGGCTTTGCTATCTCGCAGAGAAGGTCTCAACACCAGCATTTTCCCAGGGCGTTAGGGAAGTCAGGGGTTAGGTGACACAAGAGGAAAAGGATGGGGCTTCTGTCAAAGCTATGACAAAACCACTTCAGGCTGGGTGGCTCAAAACAGAGCAGTCCAACATCGGTGGCTCTTTCTGAACATGCTGACCAGCACTGCTATGGTCTGTGCTGGGCTGTACAGCGTTAGGAGGTAATGCACCTTCACAACAAAAGCTGAAATGGAAGACGAGGCAGGCACTAGACGCCTACTGTCATACTGCTGCTGGCTGAGGATGAGTAACAGCCCCAGACACCTGGTCTGCACGTCCTTTGAGCACACAGATCCGAGGAATACCACAGATTTCTTATTACAAGCCATAGGTCGGTTTTTAGAACAGCAGAAAGTATTTGAAAGTCCCATTATCCGGTGTCACTTGTCCTGGCCAATCAACCCAAGAGGCACAGTGCAGTGCAAAACTCCGAGGTGATCCCGTCCCTCTGAGGCACAGGCACAGAAAGGCTCAGCTTCAGCATCCCGAGGGACCGTGGTGGACATCAGGCAAACACACTCAGACGCCTGGGAACCGTGAACCAATTACTAATGATTTTTACTGAACGTGAAAGCGCTGCCTGCATTTCTGCTCCCTCAAAGATTACACTTAAATCTCCCTTCTTTTCAGGTCAACTATACGTCCCCACTGGTGGCTATGCACTTTACAGATGTGAAGAAGAATTATTCGGTCCCTATTCAGTGCAGTCTGAATGGGAAAGGTATTATCAACGATGCTAACAGAGACCGCTTCCTGGGCCGAATCGTCTTCACACTCAGCATTGGAAAGTAGCCACCGCAAACACTAGGCACTTAGATTAAGTCAGTCAGAGGCTTTTTCCTTTTTAAAGCATAAAGTCAGCATTTTTTCTGCTAGGAAAAACAGGCACATGGAGATTTTTGTTAATTTATTTTTGTTCATAGTTAAGAAACAAATGAGATGCAATGGAGCGTGGAACAACATTTTTCATCATCTGATGTAAATCATTATTAGTAAAAATTAAAAGTTATCTCCTGGGCAGAAAATTTGCAAAAGCATTTCAGTTTTGATCAAAAAAACCTCTGGTATCTGAATACTATTTTCATAAGGTTTTTTTATGACTGACCCCTGTGGGGTGCATTTTTCCTGGCTTTTAAAATTTAACCTTTACCATAGTTTTATGTGCATTTCTCAGGCAAAAGCTAACAAGAGGGTAATTTATTAGCACTATTCTTGTTAAAATAATAAACAGCAAAAATTCTAGATTATGCTTGCAATGACACAGTCAAAAAGTGAAAATGGCAGATCTCAAAATGCCTCCTAGGATCTTCAGCACCAGGAGCATCTTGACTGCAGCATTTTACACAGCTTGTTCAGCACACCCAAGGTGTTGGAGCAAAGGCCATGCAGAAAATCATTTGACCTTGAACCTTTCCAACTGTTCCTTTCTGAAGTGGGAAGATTAATGCATTTGTCCCTCCTCCTCCTCACTCCAGTACTTTCTCTCTGCCCCAGGAATCCTCATCGAGTCCATTAGGCAGGGATGAGTGAAAGGAGCTCTTCTCTCCCTGTCACCGTTTGCAGGTTGATGGTGCCTCCTTCCCCTGTTCAGGCACAGACGTGCCAGTGAAACGAGTTAGACCCCCCCCCAAATATTTCAGGCCTGTTCTTCCCTCTTCCAGAGGGATCACAGCTATAATGCTGCAGAAAACCACAGGGAAATGCTTAGTCGTTTCATCGGTAAGGGATCAATGCTGGTATTAGTGAAGTCATCAATTTATTGTCCTCACAGACTACGAAGCACACTCGCCCTTGTCAGAGCGGAGCGCTGCTAACCTGAGCAACCTCTGCCGCGCGGGCAGCCTGCCCCTCCCGGGCCCCTGAGCACATAGCCTTCCTATGTGACAGAGATGAACTACACTCCGCATGTTACGAGCTATGAGAACAGAGCAGCACAGGACACCTCAGGATAATGTACTAGTTGGAAAGCACACTTACTAAAATTACTGACTGAACAAGAGCATTATGGTATGTTTGTCCTACATCCTAGTCCAGCTACTTAATCTGCCACCATTTCCTGATCTATATAAGTCTCTAAGAAATCATTTTTTGTATTAAAAATAAAGCGACTACAGTAAAATTAACTCTATGGTACCATTAGTAAAACACTGGTGGAAGAGATGCAGTTTGTGACTTTAGCTCCCTGTGCTGGCCAGTTAGGGTCTGAATTTCAAAGCAGCAGGTAATGTGATCCTTGAATTTTGAGCACTTGATTAACTTTCTAGGGCCAAAAAGTTCAGAAGCCCAGTACAATAAGACTCACTATACGCTAAGTATCACAAAAAAACATCAGGCAAAAACTTACTTATTAAGAACTGTTAAAAACCTGAACCAGAGGTAGTTTAGAAACGAATTTTGCTCCGATGTGGTTATTCACATGACACTGATAGAGCTAGGGCAACACAATCATTCTGCCTGCACAACTTACCTGAAAGGGCATGTTCTGATCAACAGAAACTGGCTTCTGCCAAGGAAGATGCTGCCGTGGTAGCGGCTCTTCCTTTGACATCAGAAGTAAGTTAAACCCACAGAACGTTTTCCCGCCTGCCAATTGCTTTAGCTCTTTTAAAACATTTATATTTCTGTAGGATCCTGGAAGGAAACCAAACCCTTCATGCTTCAGGCCATAAAATTAACAGCTCTCCAGCTAGCAACAGGACAGAACTTTATTTATACCTATTCCCTACCTGCCTGTTGGAAGGATTCATGAAGCAGCTGGTCCTTTAGCAGACACTGGACCCATGCTTTGATCCAATCAACAAAGAAAGATCAACTAATTGGGATGTAAATGCACGAACAGCTTAGAAGCAAAAGTTTCTGTTTTCCCACGAACATTCTGATCCAGGCATGTCGACAATCCCGTTGGAAAAGCTCTCAGAGATGGCACGCGTGTCTACTTACACTAAAACAAAGCTTTATAAACACCATAGTTAACTTTATTTTCCATACACATATTCTGCTTTCAGCATGTTTGTACAGTCATTTCAAGATTCAGAGAATTGTATACACCACTTTTCATGCTACAACAACCTTAAAGTGCTGCTCAATTTTTGACTTTTATTGAAGCCCAAAATAATACTTTATATGTATATATAAAACATA